AGATGCATTATCTCTGTATTGAAAAATACTAATAATATTGCGTTAAATATAAATATATTATCTGTTATAATTATTAATCGTCAATTATTCGAATAGTCCCGCTAGTTCCCGCTTTCTTGTCACCATTTTGTGTGTGTATGTACGTGTGTATATTATCTTTATTTCTTTTTTTATTTCTTCAAATCCATTGCTACCACTTTCGCTCATTCCTTTTTTTTTAATCTCAATACTTTATACTCTTCAATCAGTACCCTAAAATATATGTATATACAAGTGCGGCAAGGCAGCCATTTTGTTAACTTTGTATCACCATCATCATCATCATCATCATCATCATCATTTCTTTTTCTTCTTCCTCACTTTTGTTCTTTTTTCCCTTTTGTTCCATCCTCCACACTCTCTTCTACAGAGTAATATTTTTTTTCTAATCATCCCTCTGAGACTCGTTAATTATAATACAAATTAATTTACCTCGCTTACCGATTTCAACAAACACATTTAATTATACTTTAACGCGCCTATAAAAATCAACAAAATTGTTACTTTAATCACTTTCTCCCAACGTTCTCTCTCGCTCTCGCTCTCTCTCTGCATACACTTAAAAATCCTTTAAATTTATACGCTTTAACTTTATTTAAAAATCGATAATAGTAAGGAATACAATAATTAGTAGTTAATAATTATAATCATAATCGATATTACTAGTGGTTCTTGTTTTTTACGATTCTTTATTACATTACTTTATAAAATAAGTTCTGAAAAAACAGCCGTAGGGATAAAAAACATTTTTATTCTCTCTCTCTCTCAACTTTCTCTCCCACTCGCTCTCTCTTTCTCTCTCTCTCTCTCTCTCCCCTCACTCTCTCTCGTTCTCTCAAGTAGGTATTAAATAACGTATTTACTTAGAACAACCACAAAGTCATCGCTTTCATCTTTGTTTTGCCTTTTGTTCTCTTTTATCTACTATAAAGCATCTTACTAATTTACTACTTTATTTAGATGTTCAACAACTTGTGGCCTTTGTTTTTTTTTTTTTTTCTTTAGCATTTTAACTAATTTACTTCTTTATGCGCGTAGAAGTGTTATGTACGTGTTTTACATGTGTATCTGTTGAGAGTACAGTAGTATGTTACGTGTTTCTTTTCCATCAGTGTAATTACCCATAACAATTAGTGTAAAAAGTGGTATCGTTTTTATTTTTTTTATTTACTTATCTCGTTTGTTTGTTTTTTTTCGTTTGATTGAGCTCCCTACTCGTCTTTTTTTTTTCTTTTCTGTTTGTTTCCTAGTCATTTAGGTTTAGTCGGTAAATGTGTTTATTGCGTTGATCCCAGAAGTTTCCACGAGTCGCGTTTTGTTTAATTCTTTCTCTTCCTACCCATTGACTTTTACGTATCCCTGTTTCTACGATTTCTACACGCGTTAAACTTTCGTTACTGTAATATTTTCCTTTCGTCTCTCTAATTAAACGTACCGAATATCGCGGATAATGATAGACAGTAAACACGAGCAACTTCGTTAAACAGACGTTCTGCTGAATTGTATAAGTACAGGAGTAATTGATTTGACAGTCGACATCAATGACAGTAAAACACTTATCGATCGCGAGTCCATGTTATGAAAGAAATTAAAAATTAA